GGATTCAATTATAACACAAATCATGTGTGTTTTGACATAATTGACACTCCCAAAATGATCTTGTTACCTTGTTTCCAACAATGATCTTAGGTGAGTGATCAAGGGTCATCATTACCCCCTTATTAAAAGAAAAAAATGAAATATGATAACTTTAGGCAATACACTTAGTTTGTATCTTAACTTTTTAAAAAGCTTCATGCAGGTCAGGCCATATTATTGATATAGCTGTTTCACATCACATGCATTTTGTTGGCTTTTAAGCCATGTTTATATTATAAATATAAAATTGTGGAGGAGTCAAAAATATGCGTTTATGGACTACCTTTATACCTTACATTCATGTACATGTTTGCTATTTTAAGCACGTTTGGTAGATTTATTGTCTTCTTGCATGTCTTTACAATTAACAATTAATATATGATATCAAATATATTGAAACAAAAATTATCATGCAACCAAATTTAATAACATATGTTTGTATGTGCATTTCTTGCTCACCCACTTGGCCCGAAGGAAGACAAAAATACTTTCATCCATTAAAAAGTACTTTTTAACTTGGAAACTTTCCATAAGAATTCATAGAAAAGTAAAAAGGCAAAGAAATAGAATGAACTTAGCTATGTATATTTTCTGTTGTTTTTTTCTTTTACTTTTATCATATGAAATTACCCCACCCACTTTCCCACTTTCACAAAAAATAAAACCTACAGATTTAATACTTTTCTTACATTTTTACAATAAAAACATGATATTAATGGAATGTCAAATACAGTTTAAGATTTAAAGTAACTTTTTTAACTTTGTAAATTAATTTAAAAAATCAAATTTGAAAAATATGAAAATTCTTTTTCTTGATCTTTTTTAAAGATATTTTTAGACAAAAACTATTAAGATGTTTACTTTTATTGAGATTTACATATAATTTGATTACCTCTGATATGCTTAAACACATTTTTTATCATGATAAACATAATTTGTGCAACAAATTATACTATAAAAATGATATAACAGTTTTGCACAAATCGACGGCCATATTGGACGCCATCTTGGATTTGGAAGAATGTATGAAACAGAAATGTTGTGAGATTTAAAGTTTTGAAAAGGAGAAACTGTATGCATGCTTTTGGTGTTAGTTAAGGTCTGTACAAAAAATTGGAATGAATGAGCTGGTATGTACGTCAAAAGTATATGGCAGCCATTTTGAAAATGGCGGCCATCTTGAATGAGCAGAGATATTTTTGGGCCCACTTCACTTTTGAAATCTACATGGTCTAAATATGATTTCCTGAAAGTTTCATGCTTGTATCACAATTTGCACTATTTTGTCAATTTCCCGCCCCACTGCAGAGGTATTGACGTATATATTTTCTATCAGATTTGTACCTAAAATGTTCGAACCTAAGATGTTTTGTATAACAGCAGATGCAATTTTGAATGATTTTGCCCAAAACTACTCCCTATAGTTTCGCTATAAAATATATAAAACTTATGTTTTAGTTACTAAATACCATGTCAGTCATCTTTGGGAAATCTTGTTGCATTTGCAAAAGCTATTTTCATGATAAAAGAGCTTTACTGAAAGTTAACCATATTATAGCAAAATAATAGAAAAGGTCTACTTATTGCTTATTAACCTCTCCCCCACAAAACACCCCCGAAAAAAAAAAAACCCAAAAACAACAACAACAAAACAAACGAACAAAAAAAAAAACATGTAAAATACATAAATGAAAACAAAATCTTGTGACTGTATGACTGACATTCTTTTTTTTAACTTTCAACCTGTTTTATCTTTCTCACTAGTCACAACACTCAAATGCAAAATCAACCTGGTTCCAAACAGTAAATTTACTAAACAGAGGAGAAACTAAATGATAAATAATTTTGTAAAAACAACAACAAAACAACAACCACAAAAATAGTGATTTTGAATTTACCATAATTAATTTATGAACAATCAAAAGTGATTTTGAATTTACATCTACTTCAATTTTGATTATTTTTTTATTTAATACAAGGTTATGTTTAATAAATCTTACAACTTTTATATGTATTACTTATACATGTATCTTGTAAATAAAAATACCTGTTGATACTGATTTCTGCGTCACTTAATGAATGATTGGAACCTGTCACTGGCCAACATTTTACTAGTCCAGAAGCTTTAGGAATAGGCTATATGTCATTGAAGTAGGTAAACTAGGGTTTCAATATATGTACATAATGTTATGAATAGTATATGACTGTTTCTATAAACAATATGTTATATAATTATACTTTAATTAGTGCATACTCTATAACTGGATAAAAATGAAAATGTGTACAAATATGAGTCCTATAAATTATAAAGATGTTATAATTTTGTAATATATTCTCATCTACATTGAAAGTCTGAATAAACTATTTACTAAATGAAATACATCCTCATTTTTCAAAGAACTATCATGCAAGCATAGCAATCCGGCTGACATATAAATGATTTTACTAAAACAATGGAACAATGGTCTAAATCTCTCTCTCTCTCTCCCTATTTTTTGCTTATTTATTAACCCCCTCCCTCCCCTCTAAGAAATATCTAGTGTAGGAATGGGGATGAGATATTAAATAATATATAATATATTATATCTCCACTTAGCCATTTCCAAAGTATAATGCTAATTATGCTTAATGATGCTTTCATTCATCTGACTTCAGTCATGAATATTTACTTTCATTGTTTACATTATATAAAAAAGAAGAATTTTTAGATACAAAGCAGTTTAAAAATAATAATATTCAGAACAGAACAGATTTTATTATTCAATATGACTTGAACATAAAAGTTCCTCGTCATTACACAAATATACAGCATAATTAAATACAGCGAGAGTGAAAATACAAACATACAAATTTAACATTTTGTAGTATCATACTAGTCATATACATAATTCATATTTTTATTTCTGATCTTAAATCTTTAATAAATCATGTTTATTTTTTGACAATTACACGAAAACGCACACATATGTGTTGACCGACATAAAATTTACAGATCAATCACAAATGATGCAGCCTCATGTTTGTCGCACGGGTCCAGAAAGACTTCGTAATTTAACTTATAAGTTGTCTTAGAAGTTTATCCTCAGTATGTGATGTTGTAACCTAAGCATGATCATCATTTAATCGGTGTAAATGACATTTTGTATCATGATTAATCTGAATTATCGACACTTACAGCTGATTTGTAAAACTGTTTACTTCCTGCTTGCCGTATCCGTCACTACGTAACTTTGAGATATCGTTGCCATCATATACAACCGATAAAAGTCTATTTCGAAGCAAATATGAACAAAAGTTGAGGCGAGGCGTACAGACGGCAGCCATTCTATTTCTGGTTAATATTTGGTTAAAATTTAACCAACCTCCTATACGTGGGTTAATTTAAACAGAAATTTACGCTGGTTAAATTTAACCAAACTTTTATACAATCGGTCAACCAAAGTTTAACCTAAAAAGTAACCTAACCATAGATTTAACCCAGTGGTTCAAGTTAACTTACGGTTATAAAATTGGGTGCTGGTAACTGTACTTCAACATAGTATATGACAGTAAAATTCAAAGGACACAATAACACGGACGTTTGAACATATTTAAATGCTTTGCTGTAAAGTATTTGTCTTTGTCTGTCATAAATTAAGGTAGAATACGCCTAAAGGGCACTAAAAGGAACTGTAAAATTGACAACGTTGGACGGTTATATGCCCTAAAAGACACCTCTATGCAAAATTTTAACAAAATTTACCTAATGATTTAGGAGTGATAGATATTTTATGATCTTAAACTTTGCTATTAGATGGCCTATTTTTCAGAAATGAGCAAACTCTAAATAATCTATAATATCATACTTGTGAAAAATGTTTCCCATTAATTTTTGGTAAGAAACAAAAAGTAACTGAATTATTGAATTAGGGCGTCTGATCCCCTAATAAAAATATCCGTGTTCGATCATAGGTCATCTTGGATGAAAAACTAGGTCACATGAGCTTTAAATAGAAAAAAAAATCTTGTTCACACTCCTGTGTCTACTTCTTTGATCCCAATACCCTGGCAATTGCTCTGAAAGTTTGTTGGTCAAGTTCAAAATGGATCACCTATGGTCAAAGACTATATCGCACTGCCAAAATATGCAAAAACTCTTATTAACACTCAGACTAGTGGTTACATTTTTGAGTCAATTGTCAATTAACTTAGTCAGGATGCTTGCCTAGATAATTGCTCGAATGACTTTAAACATGGGTCATCTCGGATAAAAAAAACTATGTCAAAGGAGCTAAAAAACGAAAACTCTTCTTCAAACTCTAATGATTACTGTTTTGCTTCAAATATCCTGGAAATTTGTCTGAAAGTTTGTTTAAGAAATGATATTGAAATAGCAAATTTTATTCTGCGGAAAACTAAAGAGTGGTAGGACACAAATATTGTTGAACCTGAATGTGGCTGTTGATCGCATGAACTTAAATATCCGTCTTTAGAATTTATGCGAAGATGGAGTAGACAAAGTAAAGATTGCTTAAACAAGAAATGTCATGTTGCATCAGATTTACAAGAAAAGAATTAAACTGTGTTCTTCGAGGAAGAAATATATCTACATGTACATTTTTCTTAAATTTCTCTTATTGACAGTTTAATCTTACTGCATATAAATTTCAGACGCAGACGACACGAATTAGATATTAGTAGCATGTGTAAACAATAAACAAGAAAGCTTGCTGTCTTTGTAGGATATTTTATAATGACCTTTGAGAACCTCTGACATTGGTGTCCACATAAATATTTCGTAATTGGCAGAAAGCAAAGATGGATGCAAAACCTTTTATCTTATTTTACGAAAGTATTATTTTTTATGCAATTTGAAGATAATTACCTGGCATATAAATGTTTTCAACTGTGGAACATACTAACCATATCTGAAGAGACGAGCCATAAAAGAAGATAAGTGTAAAACGTACATGTCTAAAACTATGGATCCAGTAATGATAAAATTAAGTTTAAGGCACTTTCTTTGTGTCCTACTTACCTGCACGAGTTTCTCGGACCTCGCAGCTTGCTTCCAGGGACACCCGAATCCTTTACCGGATATTTCATCATTGTGTCCACATAGACAGTTCTGCAATGGCACAGAAGCAAAGGTAAATTATTTAATTTTGTTAATATATATCTCTTTTTACACATTCATGGTGTAATTCAAATGAATTTAATTTATTGAAAAATATAAGTGAATCTTGAACAATAGTCTAACATTTATAAAATTCTACGCATATTGGTTTACAAGTTCAATTTGTTTCGATCGACCAGGGTCTAATTCGAATGACTCTGGTTAAATTAACATAATTTTGGATGCAATATATTTCGTTTATTTTTGTTTAGATAGATCTGTACGTAGTTTTACTTTGATAAAAGTACTACGAGAAAATATTACGAGTGAGGTACAGGCCAAAAATTTGCACTGCTCGAGAAAGAGCCTAATTGACTTTTGCTTTTTCATGGCATATGGTGATGCCAAGTCAATACCATTGTAATGAATCATTAAATTCATCTAAATTCTCTTATGTTACGACATATCACGATAACAAAGTCATACCTTTTTAGAAACTCAAAATATTCCAGCACTTTTCACAAAAAAAATCTCACACAAAACTTCTATCGTAAGGGAAGCTTTACGATAAATCTCCTTTTGTAAAGATGGTTTGTCTTGCAGTAATACCAGATAAAACGATAAAAACGAGATTTTTAACTTTAAAGATTTATTACTTTGAAATATTTAAACATGATCTGATGCAAAATAGATGGACTGAAATGACTCAAAGTATGACGTAAAATGCTCAAGAAGAATTTTCTAATTTCATCTGTTTTTCTTGTGGCAATATCTTAAACGGTTGAAAATATTGTGCAAAAGTCTTGAAGAAATTGAAATAATCATACAACAGGGTAAATCTTATTGAATCCAAATATCCTTTGTCATGAGGACCATGTTGGAATTTATTTTTTATCATATATTTGATTTTTCATTGTATGTTAACTTATACTATTGTTTTGGGTCATATTTACGGTTCCAACAAAATCAACACATTCTTATGCCACCCAAAAGGGAATATTTGAAAATGATGTATACTTGCATTGCTACAGAATATAGTTAATTGAAGAATGATTTCTATGTATATCAATAAGGACAAATTTAGATGTTCTAAAGCGACAATACGGGCACATATATGAGCATAATATATCTTTTTTTCAGAATATTTCGATAGAAGGTAAGGACTCATGTTGTCAGATTTGTTCTTGTGCTCCCGATTGTCACACGGTCGGAAGCTGTTGCCCGGATTTTAAACACCATGTTGTGAGTCCGCCAACATACCCTTGTAGACGGGTAACAAACATACTGAATTCAGTAAGGAATATTAGTTTGGTCACAGGAGATAAACGTATGTACCGATTTATTGATGATTGCCCTGATAAAAATACATCAGCACTTTTCCCCGCTTGTGAATACCCAGTCAAGTTGCAAGACTTTGTCATCGTGTCGGATAAAGCCAATCAAAAAGTGTTTAAAAATAGACACTGCGCAATGTGCCATGAAGTGGCTGATTTCAACGAATGGGAACTTACTACATGGTGTGAGGAGGTTGCAATTACAAATTTTCAGACATTTCAAGACAGAGACAACTACATTTTGCAAAACTGTATGCTAAACTCTTTCCCCCCAAACAAACTGATACATGAATTGGCTACTTGTTTTTATATAACAGAGACGGTACAAGACTGTCATGACAGCAAACTATGGCCTGAATATGGCGACTTCCTGAAAACCGCGTGTCACAAAGAAACCCCCTCACAGAACACCGTTTACTTTATGGATGACACATGGAAGCAGCGCGCGTATAGAAATGTTTTCTGCTATCTTTGTAGTCAGTCTGAAAATGCAGTATTACCTGACATTTGTACGTCACGTGAATATAAAAGTATACATAAACATACCTTCTTTGTAACATTATTGGTTGTTTTGTCGCCTTCAAAGGACATGTTATCACAAGAAGTTGACATTCATTTTAAGTGTAAATCCAATAGAGTCTGGGACCCGTTCGTTGTAAGTTTGTTTTAATCTATAAACCTTTTCTGTAAATTTAAGTGATTGTCGCAATATGGTAACTTGTGTATCATAAATCAAATGGTTTATGAAAAATAGACAAGGTATCTACGTAAAATACAAAAATTCCAACTGGTTCTAAAGAATGAGTCTTATAAAACTTCCAAGTAGCTTCTGATTTATTTAAATTTTGGAAACCTGTCTATTATTAAACAAATATATAAAATATATAGATAGAGATACAGCCAAGATTCTGATCCCTTAATCTGTCCACATACACCGTTTGGCGTTATTTTGTGAATGTAAAAACGCTTTCCCTTTATTGACATTTCCTTATTGTTGTCCGATGTTATTTAGTGGAAAAGAAACCTCAACTGCTCTTGCACTTATTATAATTTCACAAGTTAAACGTCCGTACAATAACAAACCAGAAATACAAACGTTCGAACAGTTTATTCGTAAAATTACTTTTACATAAAAAAGCTTTGGATTTGACCGAATAATGAGTTTTTAAGTTCTGCTTGTATTACGCTGTATATAAACATAAAAGGAAACTACACCGATGTACTCATTATGCCTTACATACTAATAAAAAATAACATGTAAGAGTTAATGGATTTGATATTCAATTATTCTATATCAAACTTACCATGTCATTGCTTGACAAAATAATAAACACAAAAGTTGATATTTGCATTTTCCTTTTTTCACAGAAGCACTGCAGAGCGTTATTCTGCCCGATTGGAAAGATTCCGATGTATGGAGAATGCATGAGCACAGCACAATCAATATCAGGATTTCCACTGAACATACAGTTTGAAGTTATTTTGAAAGGTCAACAACCGTCAAAGGAGGAGGTCGTTATGCTTACAGACAGTTGTATTCCTTTCTTGTTCTCCAGTGAATTTAAGTGCGGAGTTTGTAAACGTAAAGTATATACAAATCCTTCCGGTCACAATTTATTCTTTCAGATACCTTTTTTCACAACAAGAACCTGCTCTTTAGACAATTTACTTACGAGCCTGAAGGCATTCGTACAGATGAAAAAGAAAATATTTGCTGTAAAGCACATGGATGAGGTTCGGCATCTTATCATTGAACATACAACAGAAAATATTCTCAACAAAACTTATCTGCCTATTCCCACCAAAGAGTACTATAAAAGTTGCTCAGCGAATGTACAAACTGATTTGTTCATACTACAGAACTGTCCTCGTATCTTAATAACAATATCAATGTTCCAACAAATCACCCAGAATGACACGTCAGTCTCAAAGAACGTACTAACAGAAATTTTGGCTATCAAAAACGATAACAATACGGTATTTATTTGCTTTAAAGAGTATCTTAGACTAACAGCGTTGGTAAGCTGTTCAGGAGGCTTTCCATTACCTAGTACGATCGTCAGTTTCCTGGCCTTACACTTCACTTTTACTTTGTTGTAATTATTTGTGATGGCTAGCGTGATTACAGCCTCATTGAAGGTTCATCCACTTTAACGAACTATTTTAGGTGTGGTAAATCACCTGAACAAAATAGTTAATATACGGACACGCTGAATCAAAGGTTTATATCTGATTGAATCTTTAATGAAAAAAAAAGAAAAGAAAGAAACAATAAAATATATGTTGTTTTAGTAATCTTATGGTCGCTTCTTGGAAATTTTGTCATATAGAACATCTATGTAATGTGATATACATGAATACATATGTAAATTGAATAAAATATTCAGGAACAAAATATTCCCTGCAAGACCCAATCAAATTCTCTTACAGACTTTTCATTCTAGGTATTCTGTAATCAATTTTATCATGATACAAATACGAACTGTACAATTCACAGGCATAAAGGGGTTGTTAAAAGAAATAGGACTCTGTGTGTCTGAAATGTCGTATGTCCGGTGATCGTAAACTTTTGTTTACATTTTAAGCATGATTTTATTATGTTTCTTTGCTCAACATGTATTCCCTGTAATATTGACTTAATGATTGAAGGTAAGTTATATTTCTCGTTTGTGCATAAGTTGTCGTTCACAACCACACGTTTCAGTTTTATTGATTGGCATAGCTCTATATATTTTAAGGTTATTTATCTCGGAATAAACTCAGTCCAAGAGGTGAAAATATTTGTCTGACACTCAAAATCACATTATATCTTAGCTGTTAGGCGTGGGATCAAGTTAATTAAACGTATTTTTGTATAAGATCAATTTCACCGAAACCAAAAACCTTAGAAAAATACAGTCAAATTGTTCATTTGAGAAAGGTTAAAACAACGGAAAAATGCAAAGTTAAATTTAGCAAAATTTATTTCGCAATGAATATTTTACAGAAGTGTGACATCTTTTTAAAAAAATCTTTATTGTAGGTACGTCAATACAGTAACTCCGGAATTCAGAATATTCTGGGTCTTTCCGTACAAACTAGCTTGTAATAGTAACCGGTCTATATAAAATTTACATTGGAAAACCGAAATAACGTAGCGTATTAATAAGAAGAAAAGCCTATTCTTTATGTATGGAGAGCGTTCGTTGCCAGAATTCCAGACATGTAAAGTGTTCCTTTTGAAAATGCAAACTTCTATGCCTACCATCTTTTTATTGCATCCGTGCATAGTACATAACAGCCTCTTAATCCAATCTTTTAATTGAAGGTTCCCGCCTTAATATAACAAGTTTACATATAGAAGTAAGAGAGCCGCCGCCTATGGGTTATCAACTGCACAGGAACTTGAAATTCTATCAATATTAATAATAATATCCAAAATATACCCCCTATACAGTATAAATAAACACAAGGAATGAAACGCCTTTTCCCCACCCCAACATAATTTACGCCGAACAAATCAACAAAACAACGGATCAAAATAATCTATCGGGCCATTTCGATAAACAATACATAAATGCACCAAATACTTGACTTATATTGATTGAATTTCAAGTTCCTGTGATCAACTGATAATGACTACGGTCAAAACTGATTATAGCTTAAATGCTGAAAGATTTATGTTGATTGATTATGTTATAGACGGTAACAACTTACCTAACATTGAAGCAACAACAAAATTACAAGTTAATATCTTTCATTGCATACAATATTTTGCATGCAAGTTTGCACAACACGAATACAGAAAATAGAGTTTAAGAAAACGTCTTTTCCATTTGTAGAACTACAAGAGTACGTTTACAAAAGTAGATTCACAAAGTTAAACGATTTTAAGTCATGCATGATGCCCCGCCCCTCTTTGAGTATTTACGAACTTCTATTGCGGACAGGTATAAAACATTGCCATCTTTCAATAAAACTGAAGGAAAACACGCCGCATTCTTCCTAACATATTTTCGTTGCATTTGTTGCAAAAGTTTTATCACTAGCTACATCACTTGAAAATTGCTTATTGAACCATTTATTCAATACAAAATGATTATGATAACTTATTCACTTACTTAATTTTTAACCTTGTGTTTTCCTGAGAAACATCGGCGATTTGGGAATTCAAGGGGGAAAATGACCAACTTCAAGCGAGTAATTTTATTCATTATCTAAAAACCAGCCAATATTTGTATTGGTATCATTGAAAAATGTATTGGCACAAAGCTCATTTGAAACAAAAACTATGCGAGTATTTGAAAAATAGGATTTTAAAGCGGCCACAGAGATTTCTTTTCAGAAATCAAGAAAGTACATATCCGTAACACATATCTGCAATCTCTTATATGGTTTTTGCAATAAAATAATTATTTCTTTTGATATATTGAAGCTTATGGTTTTAACTTTCATTCTATATTCATTTTCTATTTTGAAAACTGATTATTTTATAAAGTATCTAAAGGGAGTGCCGTGATTTTCTTACCGAAAATATGAATGTGGTTTAAAGAGAGAGAAAAAATAAACAACGATATTTTAAGGCATCACTAGAAAATTCATGAAGGATTCTTTCATTTAACACCGAATTTATTAAAATTGATCAAGAAATAAAAAAAAGTCATTAAGTAGGGGCGCCGTGTTTTTCTTAATGAATTTCAGAGTGAGGTTTTCAGAAAGTAACATGATGAAACTTTGAAATCTCCTTTTGTAAAGATGGTTTGTCTTGCAGTAATACCAGATAAAACGATAAAAACGAGATTTTTAACTTTAAAGATTTATTACTTTGAAATATTTGAACATGATCTGATGCAAAATAGATGGACTGAAATGACTCAAAGTATGACGTAAAATGCTCAAGAAGGATTTTCTAATTTCATCTGTTTTTCTTGTGGCAATATCTTAAACGGTTGAAAATATTGTGCAAAAGTCTTGAAGAAATTGAAATAATCATACAACAGGGTTTATCTTATTGAATCCAAATATCCTTTGTCATGAGGACCATGTTGGACTTTATTTTTTATCATATATTTGATTTTTCATTGTATGTTAACCTATACTATTGTTTTGGGTCATATTTACGGTTCCAACAAAATCAACATATTCTTATGCCACCCGGAAGGGAATATAAGAAAATGATGTATATTTGCATTGCTACAGAATATAGTTAATTGAAGAATGATTTCTATGTATATCAATAAGGACAGATTTAGATGTTCTAAAGCGACAATACAGGCACATATATGAGCATAATATATCTTTTTTCAGAATATTTCGATAGAAGGTAAGGACTCATGTTGTCAGATTTGTTCTTGTGCTCCCGATTGTCACACAGTCGGAAGCTGTTGCCCGGATGTTAAACACCTTGTTGTGAGTCCGCCAACATACCCTTGTAGACGGGTAACAGACATGCTGAATTCAGTAAGGAATATGAGTTTGGTTACAGGAGATAAACGTATGTACCGATTTATTGATGATTGCCCTGATAAAAATACATCAGCACTTTTCCCAGCTTGTGAATACCCAGTCAAGTTGCAAGACTTTGTCTTCGTGTCGGATAAAGCCAATCAAAAAGTGTTTAAAAATAGACACTGCGCAATGTGCCATGGAGTGGCTGATTTCAACGAATGGGAACTTACTACATGGTGTGAGGAGGTTGCAATTACAAATTTTCAGACATTTCAAGACAGAGACAACTACATTTTGCAAAACTGTATGCTAAACTCTTTTCCCCCAAACAAACTGATACATGAATTGGCTACTTGTTTTTATATAACGGAGACGATACAAGATTGTCATGGCAGCAATCTATGGAATGAATATGGCGACTTCCTGAAAACCGCGTGTCACAAAGAAACCCCCTCACAGAACACCGTTTACTTTATGGATGACACATGGAAGCAGCGCGCGTATAAAAATGTTTTCTGCTATCTTTGTAGTCAGCCTGAAAATGCAGTATTACCTGACATTTGTACGTCACGTGAATATAAAAGTATACATAAACATACCTTCTTTGTAACATTATTGGTTGTTTTGTCGCCTTCAAAGGACTTGTTATCACAGGAAGTTGACATTCATTTTAAGTGTAAATCAAATAGTGTCTGGGACCCGTTTGTTGTAAGTTTGTTTTAATCAGTTATCTATTAGCTTTTTCTGTAAATTTAAGTGATTGTCGCAATATGGTAACTTGTGTATCATAAATCAAATGGTTTATGAAAAATAGACAAGGCATCTACGTAAAAAATACAAAAATTACCAACTGGTTCTAAAAAATCAGTCTTATAAAACTTCCAAGTAGCTTCTGATTTATTAAAATTTTGGAAACCTGTCTATTATTAAACAAATATATAAAATATATAGATAGAGATACAGCCAAAATTCTGATCCCTTACTCTGTCCACTTACACCGTTTGGCGTTATTTTGTGAATGTAAAAACGCTTTCCCTTTATTGACATTTCCTTATTGTTGTCCGATGTAATTTAGTGGGAAAGAAACCTCAACTGCTCTTGCACTTATTATAATTTCACAAATTAAACGTCCGTACAATCACAAACTAGAAATACAAACGTTCGAACAGTTTTTTCGTAAAATTACTTTTACATAAAAAAGCTTTGGATGTGACCGAATAATGAGTTTTTAAGTTCTGCTTGTATTACGCTGTATATAAACATAAAAGGAAACTACACCGATGTACTCATTATGCTTACATACTAATATAAATAACATGTAAGAGTTAATGGATTTGATATTCAATTATTCTATATCAAACTTACCATGTCATTGCTTGACAAAATAATAAACACAAAAGTTGATATTTGCATTTTCCTTTTTTCACAGAAGCACTGCAGAGCGTTATTCTGCCCGATTGGAAAGATTCCGATGTATGGAGAATGCATGAGCACAGCACAATCAATATCAGGATTTCCACTGAACATACAGTTTGAAGTTATTTTGAAAGGTCAACAACCGTCAAAGGAGGAGGTCGTTATGCTTACAGACAGTTGTATTCCTTTCTTGTTCTCCAGTGAATTTAAGTGCGGAGTTTGTAAACGTAAAGTATATACAAATCCTTCCAGTCACAATTTATTCTTTCAGATACCGTTTTTCACAACAAGAACCTGCTCTTTAGACAATTTACTTACGAGCCTGAAGGCATTCGTACAGATAAAAAAGAAAAAATTTGCTGTAAAGCACATGGATGAGGTTCGGCATCTTATCATTGAACATACAACAGAAAATATTCTCAACAAAACTTATCTGCCTATTCCCACCAAAGAGTACTATAAAAGTTGCTCAGCGAATGTACAAACTGATTTGTTCATACTACAGAACTGTCCTCGTATCTTAATAACAACACCAATGTTCCAACAAATCACCCAGAATGACACGTCAGTCTCCAAAAACGTACTTACAGAAATTTTGGCTATCAAAAACGATAACAATACGGTATTTATTTGCTTTGAAGAGTATCTTAGACTAACAGCGTTGGTAAGCTGTTCAGGAGGCTTTCCATTACCTATGACGATCGTCAGTTTCCTGGCCTTACACTTCACTTTTACTTTGTTGTAATTATTTGTGATGGCTAGCGTGATTACAGCCTCATTGAAGGTTCATCCACTTTAACGAACTATTTTAGGTGTGGTAAATCACCTGAACAAAATAGTTAATATACGGACACGCTGAATCAAAGGTTTATATCTGATTGAATCTTTAATGAAAAAAAAAAGAAAAGAAAGAAACAATAAAATATATGTTGTTTTAGTAATCTTATGGTCGCTTCTTGGAAATTTTGTCATATAGAACATCTATGTAATGTGATATACATGAATACATATGTAAATTGAATAAAATATTCAGGAACAAAATATTCCCTGCAAGACCCAATCAAATTCTCTTACAGACTTTTCATTCTAGGTATTCTGTAATCAATTTTATCATGATACAAATACGAACTGTACAATTCACAGGCATAAAGGGGTTGTTAAAAGAAATAGGACTCTGTGTGTCTGAAATGTCGTATGTCCGGTGATCGTAAACTTTTGTTTACATTTTAAGCATGATTTTATTATGTTTCTTTGCTCAACATGTATTCCCTGTAATATTGACTTAATGATTGAAGGTAAGTTATATTTCTCGTTTGTGCATAAGTTGTCGTTCACAACCACACGTTTCAGTTTTATTGATTGGCATAGCTCTATATATTTTAAGGTTATTTATCTCGGAATAAACTCAGTCCAAGAGGTGAAAATATTTGTCTGACACTCAAAATCACATTATATCTTAGCTGTTAGGCGTGGGATCAAGTTAATTAAACGTATTTTTGTATAAGATCAATTTCACCGAAACCAAAAACCTTAGAAAAATACAGTCAAATTGTTCATTTGAGAAAGGTTAAAACAACGGAAAAATGCAAAGTTAAATTTAGCAAAATTTATTTCGCAATGAATATTTTACAGAAGTGTGACATCTTTTTAAAAAAAATCTTTATTGTAGGTACGTCAATACAGTAACTCCGGAATTCAGAATATTCTGGGTCTTTCCGTACAAACTAGCTTGTAATAGTAACCGGTCTATATAAAATTTACATTGGAAAACCGAAATAACGTAGCGTATTAATAAGAAGAAAAGCCTATTCTTTATGTATGGAGAGCGTTCGTTGCCAGAATTCCAGACATGTAAAGTGTTCCTTTTGAAAATGCAAACTTCTATGCCTACCATCTTTTTATTGCATCCGTGCATAGTACATAACAGCCTCTTAATCCAATCTTTTAATTGAAGGTTCCCGCCTTAATATAACAAGTTTACATATAGAAGTAAGAGAGCCGCCGCCTATGGGTTATCAACTGCACAGGAACTTGAAATTCTATCAATATTAATGATAATATCCAAAATATACCCCCTATACAGTATAAATAAACACAAGGAATGAAACGCCTTTTCCCCACCCCAACATAATTTACGCCGAACAAATCAACAAAACAACGGATCAAAATAATCTATCGGGCCATTTCGATAAACAATACATAAATGCACCAAATACCACCGAAAACTTTTTAAAATCAAGTAGCTGTGTAGGAATAATTCAACATTTTCTGATTATTTCCCGCGATCTGAGTTTGTCGCCGACTCCATTCTGTGACGTCACTGGATTTTGATTCGAGGAGAATAATATTTATTAAAATTATTTTTAATAAGTTCCAAAAAATAACAGGTATGTATTAAACTATTTTAAATATTGTTCTATGTAAATAGATTTAAACATCTTTATGTAAAATCTTTTTAACAAATTACTTTTATAAATACATTTGAAAGGGAAACCCCAAACAAGAACGGTAAATCTTTGAAATAGTACTTTCGTTTTAAAAAAAAAAAATTGAGTACTCTATTTGATATGGCTTAGCAAATAAATTCAGCCATGTCGTGAGAAAGAAATTAGTCATTTGTTCGACTAAGTTTGACAGTATTTTACTTGCAAACTTGTTATTTTTGGAACTTGAAAAAAATAATTTTAATAAATATTATTCTCCTCGAATCAACACCCAGTGACGTAACGGAATGGAGTCGGCGACAAACTCAGATCGTGGGAAATAATCAGAAAATGTTGAATTCTTCCTACATAGCTACGAGATTAAAAAAAGTTATCGGTGGTATTTGATGCATTTATGTATTGTTTATCAAAATGGCCCGATAGATTATTTTGATCCGCTGTTTTGTTGATTTGTTCGGCGTAAATTATGTTGGGGTGGGGAAAAGGCGTTTCATTCCTTGTGTTTATTTATACTGTATAGGGGGTATATTTTGGATATTATCATTAATATTGATTGAATTTCAAGTTCCTGTGATCAACTGATACTGACTACGGTCAAAACTGATAATAGCTTAAATGCTGATAGATTTATGTAGATTCATTATGTTATAGACGGTAACAACTTACCTAACATTGAAAACAACAACACAGTTACAAGTTAATATCTTTCATTGCATACAATACATTACATGCAAGTTTGCACAACTCGAATACAGAAAATAGAGTTTAAGAAAACGCCTTTTCCATTTGTAGAACTACAAGAGTACGCTTACAAAAGTAGATTCTCAAAGTTAAACGATTTTAAGTCATGCATGATGCTCCGCCCCTCTTTGAGTATTTACGAACTTCTATTGCGGACAGGTATAAAACATGGCTATCTTTCCATAAAACTGAAGGAAAACACGCCGCATTCTTCCTAACATATTTTCGTTGCATTTGTTGCAAAAGTTTTATCACTAGCTAGTAGCTACATCACTTGAAAATTGCTGATTGAACCATTTATTCAATACAAAATGATTATGATAACTTATTCATTTACTAATTTTTTAACCTTGTGTTTTCCTGAGAAACATCGGCGATTTGGGATTTCAAGTGGGAAAATGACTTCAAAACTTCAAGCGAGTAATTTTATTCATTATCTAAAAACCAGCCAATATTTGTATTGGTATCATTGAAAAATGTATTGGCACAAAGTTCATTTTAAAAAAAACTATGCGAGTATTTGAAAAATAGGATTTTAAAGCGGCTATTGAGATTTCTTTTCCGAAATCAAGAAAGTACATATCCGTAACACATATCTGCAATCTCTAATATGGTATTTTCAATAGAATAATATTTTTTTTTTAATATATTGAAGCTTATAGTTTAAACTTTCATTCTATATTCATTTTCTATTTTGAAAACTGATAATTTTATAAAGTATCTAAAGGGAGCGTGATTCTTGCCGAAAATATGAATGTGGTTTAGAGAGAGAGAAAATAAACACCGATATTTTAAGGCATCCCTAGAAAGTTCATGAAGGATTATTAAAATTGATCAAGAAATAAAAAAAGTCATTATGTAGGGGCGCCGTGTTTTTCTTACTGAATTTCAGAGTGTGGTTTTCAGAAAGTAACATTATAAAACTTTGAAACGAAAATTTTAATAGTTCTCCTTATTTCATTTTTATTTTTAGGCATTATATAATTATAGACTATTTAAGCACTCTTTTATTTCAATCAACACTAATCAAAATTGATTAAAAAGTTAAAACAAGTTCGGTGGGGACGCCGTGTTTTCTTACCGAATTTGAGAGGAAAAAATGATAAATTTTGAAAGAAAAAAAAATAAATTAATTCATCTATTTAATTAATTTTTATTTCTGAATTATTGCATTTCTAATTTTTGAGTAATCTTTCATTTGATACCAACATTATTTTATTTTTAAATACTTTTTTTTAAGAAGTGACGCTGTGCTTTCCGTCATATTATTGGTAAATAGGGGAGAGGCGCCGGGTTTTTTACCTGTCCGTACATTTCCGTTAAATACTCAAAGACGGGCGGGGTGTCATGTATGACTTAAAATCGTTTAACTTTGTGAATCTACTTTTGTCATTTTAAACATGTTACTGTGTAAACGTACCCTTGTAGTTCTACAACGGGAAACACGTTTTCTTAAACTCTATTTTCTGTCTTCGAGTTTTATATTTCAATTGTATTCCTAAGGTACAGATAGATATCTATATAAGTGTGCAAACTTGCATATGTATAACAATGTATATGCAACGGAAGATACGAGCTTGTAAATTTGTTGTTGATTTCCATGTTAAGACATTTGTTAAGATCTACATGTAAACTTGTTATTTAAAAGCGGGTGCCTTCAATTAAAAGATTGAATTAAGAGGAATATTATTTGCTGTGCATGAATACAATAAAAAATGCTAGACACACGCGTTCGCATTTTCAAAAGGAACACTTTACATGTCTGGAAATTTGGCAACGAACGCCCTCCATATTTATGTACTTATTTGGAAAATTTCATAAATTGAAACATATTTTCATCCTTTTTAACTGTGTATGATATTTCTGATACTGTAAATCATTTTTATAGTTTAGTTTAATAATATTTTATTGATAATACATACATATAGATATACAGAGAAACAAATTGATTTCGAAATAATAAGTAGCAAAAGGGCTTGGCCCAAGTTCTTACAACAAAAGCGATCGGTCTTCCCCTGAAAAAGGAATTGTACTAATCAACATTTATGGCATTTATATGAGAAATTATAAGATGTATACAAACTTTAAAAAATAAAAATAAAAATAGAAATTTCCTTACATCGTCGTGACGCAAGTAAGAAAAAAGTTAACTGCTAAAACATTAATATTGTACATTTCTAGCACAAAAATACATTATTTCTAATTTTTCGATAGATAACATGATATTTGATAGTAAAAGTAGTAATTTGAGTAAGATATAAGCCTCAAACTGACCAATTAGTAAAGTATTGAATTACCTTCGGCGCTACACGCCTCATGAAATTCAATATTTTACATATTGGACAGTTTTCGGCTTATATCTACTACATAATATTGCTAAAATTACTGGTTGTAAGCATAAATAAGTATAAAGGCAATAGATGAATATTATATGGAATACAGCCAATAATTGAACACAACCATATAACTTTTGAAGCTGTTTTCTATGGAACTGAAAGTGAAATAGAAATTATATATTAGATTGAAACAAAATAAAAAAATTAAATACTGATGTCATCAG